GGAGAAGTGTTCAGGTACTTTACTGGTAACTGAACTGCTAGTAAAACCAGCAGTAAAGAAATACATCACACACACAAACAGAAGGCCAGAAATCCCCACTGTTTTATCCATTATTAGTATAACTGGTGTATTAAGCAAATCCATCTATTTTAAAATGTTTTAAGTTGCTCTGTTTATAAAATCATAATGTCACATTAAGCTGAAACTATCAAACGTTTCCGTGCATGAACTCAAAACACAACCAACACCACCAGTTTATATAAGACTGAGAGTGTTAGAGAGAAGCCAAGCCGCTCATCAAGAAGACAGCCAAGCACAATAATGGCTCCATACATCCCCCCATAAAGATCCTCACGGGCCAGCAGAGCGCAGCAGGGACAGAAAGTGAGCTCCCTGCTGCTGCTGCTGCTGCAGTGCTGCACCTGGAAATGCTTTACCCCACTGAGGCGATACAAGCTCATGGCAGGAAATACAAAGGCATTGTTTATTGTATGTTTCTTCTAACGCTTTGCCCGAAGAGATTAGCAGTTAACAAGTCTCCTCTGATGGGAGACAGATCATTTTTCCCAAAACCTCTCTTGTGCAACTATATCTGGAAAATGTCAAGTTTTGTTTTAGGCCCAGAGATTAAAAAATGTGTTTTATTCAAGACCAGCTGATTCTTATCAGTTTGGTGTTTCTGTCCTTGTCTTAACCAGGTTATAGGACCAAGAGGACCACCTGGCCCAACGGTATGCACCTATTTCCTCATAATTATTCCCCTTTGAGCACTTTTACAGACACTGCGTAGTATCTGAACGTGTTTAGAGTAATTATATAGGTATTACATTTAATTGGCAGAGCAGTGACTGGAAATGGAAACCGATCTGATACAACAGTAGTAGAGTTAAAAGGCTTCAGCTGTTATTCAACACACAAGTATTGAGATTACGCCTGAAGTTATTTCACCATCTCCTGTTCACCCAGGGACCGCCAGGAGAGCAAGGACCCCGAGGACCAAGAGGAGATAAAGGAGAGAAGGTCAGTGTGACGTGTAAAAAAACAAGAAAAAAAATTCAATGACTTGATTTTCTACTTAAAAAAAAAAGAAACTCAAACCCCGCCCAGCTAAGAAGTACAGTATGTGTCATTGAATTGGAGCTTTAGGTCTCGGGGAGTGGGCTGGGGGATCTGTTATAGGCTGCAGGTTTGCAGAATGGCAGCCTTTCACTGAGCGACTCAGCCTAACTAGTCATGTGTCATTTACATTAGGCTGTGTGGTCTGCTGAGGTTTGGGGCGTTTAACAGATGTGAGGCTGTCGGAGACTCATAATGTAAACCTCTGCTGCTCTCAGAGGGCCCATAGTCAGTCAGTGTGGGAAATCAGCAGCGCCACATTTGCAAGGCTTTGATCATCTCAATAATGTAACATCACTCGGATGTGCTAACGGCCGCAGGCGAGGAGTTTATGCCATGTAGTCGTCTTGTTTATGCAGATTTAAGCGCAGGACGGATCGAGCTTTGGCTTTGGCGTGGTTTTTTTTTTTTAGGTACTCGGGTTCTTTGTTTGGGATTCCCTTGCAGGGTGATTTGTCAGCGCATGCACAGAGGAATGCAGGTAGTCCAATTTGGCCAGGAAAATCATCACCTGAGTAAACGTGTAGTCATTTACTCAGAGTGTGCACAAGCTCAAATGTTGGCCACAGGTTGGAATTAATGAATGCTAAATTAAAATGTGTTATGTAACACTTTTATGTTCTTACACATGTTTTTTCTCTCTTACATTTGCAACAAAATGGGAAGATTATTACTTAATAAGATGCTATTCCTATTTGTTTTGGTACTTGAATTGTGTCTTCTCAGCTGTGAGAAGCATTAATGCAGCTCAACACAGCTGCAGATATAGAAACATATAATATTTGAATAGAGGGAAAGTAGTTAGTGAGTGAATTTATGAGCTGATCTGTTGCAAATGCTTCTCGATTTGATTTTTTTGAGACTTGACAAAATGATTTGTGGGGCATTTTGTGAAACACGAGATTTTCAATTCATCTGAATTTTATATTTATATTTAAGGGAAGTCCTGGCCCCCGTGGCAGAGATGGCGAGCCTGGCACCCCCGGAAACCCTGGCCCCCCTGGACCTCCAGGACCTAATGGACCCCCTGGCCTTGGTGGAGTGAGTATCGCATGTCTAGTAAGGACGATAGGCTAGCATTCACTCCAGACATAGGAGCTGACAGGTTGCATACTGATTCAAGGCCAAGAATGGGTTCACTTTGGCTGCTTGGAATAACTGGAGAGAGGGGTGAAATGGAGCAAAGAAAGAATCCAAGAGTACAAAAGATGTGGGAAACTGCTGGTGTTGGGAGGAGGCAGAAAGACAACAGCGAGGGGATGCAGAGGGAAAGAATAGATCGAATGCCTCTCATTCTTTGTAGCAGAAAAGAAAGGAGGGTGGTGGAGGTAGTATGATAGACGTAAGAAGGGGAAGGGAAGAAGTGCTTTTTGGGGGGGTGGAGTTAAAAAGAAAGAGAGTCTTTGTGAGAACGGTTCACATGCCCTCTGTCTCTCCTCTGTCTGCATCAGAATTCACACACTAAGCTCTACTACTGACAAAAAGAAGGTCAAAAGCTGATTCGCTCTCCGGCCAAAACGATGCAGCATCCTGCAGCGATGCGTGACACGTGAACACGCTTTGCAAGTGTTGAAATTAAGTCATCTATTCGCTCTGTTCCAGTCAAATACTTTACCCAGATTTATACTTTTATTTCACAAACATAATAAACCACAAACCATTTTGTTTATTCTAAAAATGCTAAATATGTCCTTTGTTTTGCCTCCTCCAGAACTTCGCCGCTCAGATGGCCGGTGGTTTTGACGAGAAGGCCGGCGGCGCACAAATGGGTGTGATGCAAGGACCGATGGTGAGCAAGTGATGATGAGAGCTGCTGCCGCTCCTGTGTTGTTTTTATCACCGCCTGATTTCACCTGCAATGAGGCTAACGTTATGACGTTTTCAAAAACAAAGCGCTTTGAGTCTATCCACGTGAAGACCTGGGTTAGAGATCTGCATCAGCCCGCATCTGCTCTGCATCCCCATCCTGCTCTTTAACTGCTCTGGGGGGACATAAACAACTTCTTTCCATGAACTAGAGAAGCATCACCTGGTCATCAAACGTGAAAACTATGAGATGGAAACATCATCATTCTCCTTTAGGAGAGTAGTTGCCAAAGCGGGATTTAAAGTCTGGGATGGGAAGAAACAATGAAGACTTCACTCAGCGTTCCCATTTTGTCTTTTCCGTCTTTGTTGTTGGTTTATGGATGAAATCAAGAGATAAAAGACACATTTTTCCTGCTGCTGGAGGAAGCTGCAAAGTTCTGGGTCACGATGGAAAATAAACACCTCACATGGAGTACAGAGGGGTAATTTTATAAACCAAGGAAGCAGCCATTGATCTTCATTATATTTCAAGCTCATGAAAAACCGCTCCTGCTGGCATGGCAGCATGCCCGTGATGGAGTGAGGAGCATACTGGGAGCTATTTTGGTTTAAAGAGCCACAGAGAAGCTTGGCTGTCTCTCAGCCCAGCAGTGGTTTGAGACGCTCTGAGGGTAGGGGGACTGAAGGCGATCGCATCCCCTCAGCTAGCAGAGTGTATGTGTGTGTGTGGCTTAACTCCTACTGACTGTCCTACCGTATGTCTGTCTGAGAGCCCGCCACAACACTGAGCCTTATTGAAGGAAGTCTACGTTTACTTTGGCTTATGCCAGCTTGCTGTTGGAGGAGCAGTGGAAGAGCAAACTGGACTGATGTTAAATCACAAGTAAAGCTTAAAACCCTCATATATACCTGTAAATACCCCAGCTCATATCCTGGCCTTACATAGCTATTTAAACAACGCCGCTACTGAAATGCACGCTACACACAAACATATGTGTGCCCCTCAAACACACTTTATAAAGCCCCATTGATACGTTTCTCCCCAGTGTGGTGAGGGCTTCCCACACCCACTGAAAGGTGACTTTCATTTGATTCTGAGCACCACTGTGCCCGGCTGTGACATTTTCTTTGGCTGCGAGCCCTGATTTTTGTATGAGGCTTCATAAGAGCCACGCTACTGAAAGGAATATGTTTCTATCCAAGCAAGCAGCTGTCAAAAGTCATCGGAAGTCAAACTTTCTTTTAATAAGAAGAACTCGGGCTCTTGAAAGCTCTCAGCTCACTCCCTCGAATCGAAAAAAAGCACAAGGATTAGTCTCAAAACTGTTACAGAATTAGTTTGGCAACTCCGAGCAGACGTAGCTGCAGAGCAGTCGGAGATAATTTAGTTCAATTTAGCTTAAGACTCTTCCGCTGAGCCGGTGCCTGAAATCTCACTTATCTAAGATGAAGATTTTCATTATAACCAACAGTGTGTCAAGAAGAAGCCATGCAGAGTTCAGCCTCATCTCTTAAAAAATGCAACACTTCAGCTTGTGACCTTTGAACTACAGAAACACACAGTGAGTGGAAACATTAACTGAGGAAAGCAGAAGGATGAAAGAAGTGAAGAGAAAATCTGATCCCGGGAGGAATTTCAAATGATTTATGGTTTTGACAGGAGAGCCGCTGAGTATTATGTAGCTTTGAGGCAAAGCAGGTGATGTGTTTTTATAGCTTCTCGGTGAATTCGCGTGGATAAAATGACCACTTAACAAATTTTACCACTAATGCAAACTGTAAAAAGTTAACTGTGCTGTTGTGTAATTTGCCTGTTTATGTATTTTCAAATGTGTGACGAGTGGATTTATGTGCCATTATCTTCATGCTGCTTGTGTGTTGTCTTCTTCTCAGGGCCCTATGGGACCTAGAGGACCACCTGGGCCAACTGGATCACCTGTAAGTACCTCCTGTACTCCCAAAAACAGCACACAATCAGGGCACACCTGTAGACAGCATCCTGTGGTTGGTCACAGACAGGGTACACATGGCAAAATCTCATAATTGTAACGTGCATATGCTACATTGTCTGCTCCTTTAATGTATTTAATAACAATATTGACCTAAAAATGGCCACTGCTCGTGCAAACCTCAGGAATAAGTGCATACAACAGGCTTTAAGTAATAACTGTTTATACTGAGCCCTGCTTTAACCACGAGCGTCTGCTCCCGCTCTCCTCTGGAGGAAGATGGCAAGCAAAGAACACTTTCATCTCCCTGAAGGCTCCGGGGCTTTTTCCTGTGCCACGACCCAGACATACCATCGAACACCTGACAATTTACCTTACACCCCCCACCACACGCAAATGCCCTGCCTTGTACTACCCCTGCCTGTAGCCCAGCTCCACCTGCAGCCCTTACTCAAAGAATCCAGAAGCTGCAGAGTTGAAGGCAGTGCCACCTGACTTGCCTCAACTTGATCATTTTATCGCCCAAAGCCCCCGTTTGCAGAAATGCAATTCCACCTTAAACACCTTTGGTCTGCTTTTAGATAGGACTTCCTTTTCTAAAGTTATGGTATCATTTTGAATCTTAGAAGCTTTTAATTTAGAAAAACAGACACACGGATGCCATAAGGGATCAAATGTGGATTATCTTCTATCGTATACACGTCGTTACAACAAAGGATACTTGTATTTCAAATATCGCAGTTGGCATATGTGCAAGTATTCTATATGAGCGTAAAATTCAGCCTGACTTCAAACGTCTCTATAGCCCAGCGAGTTTCTCCACCCTTGGCTCTGTGTGATGACAATAAAAGAGGATATGGGCTCCAGCTCCCTGTGATAGGCAGTTAAAAATGGCCACTTCAGGCTCATAGCTCCAACTGTGAGTACTGAAATGTCATTGCTGTTCTTTTGTGTCCAAGGGGCAATTCATCAGAAGAAATCTGGCTTAAAGGGATGGACTTGAAAGGACCTGTTTTAGACA